GAGACAAATTAAAAGTTATGACATAATTTATTTTTAAATAAATTGTATGCAGTTTGTTTTATTAAGGATAAAAATCACAAAACGGTCGAAATGACCGCTACGGGCGTTCTAGTGTTAAACTGATGGTATTTCTGTCTTATGCGTCTTTTGTCATTGGCGCATGTATTATTCTCGGTGCACCACATTGTTCAATAATATATAAATGATTATTTTGTGCTATTTTTATTACTGATTCACGATCAGCAAATGCCATTGCACATAGGCCACCCATAACTTTTCGTTTCTCTATAAGATGAATTGAAAATTCGATATTTTTTTATTAGTCAAATGAAGAACATCGTCAACTGTGACTTTTAATTTACATTCAAGTACAATATTGTCATTTCTAAATAAACAAAAAGTATAAAATTCATTTGTATATTTTTAATGATATCAAACTTTCTTTTATACAGATATGATCAAGACCATAGAGACTTCAAGGACATAGAACAAAGAACAAGAGAGAGGAAACTCTTATTTACTGATCGCAAACGTCGCTCCCTTTTTTCTGTTTTCAGTTGAATTTTGAAATTATTCGTCTCCTGAACCTATTGGATTGCTGTGAACAATAAAGACGCAATTGTCAACATAACTTGGTTGGCATCCAGGTAAAGGTTGACCGAATACATAAAATCCTATATCCAAAAGTCGGAAAATATGACATTTTATTTTGTCTTTCAAAAATCTTTTTCTCGTACGTACATACATTTGACAAACATCCCATTTCCAATGCTTTCAAATATTTCTCTCTGGCTACGCTTAGCATAATTTTCTCGTTACACTGTAATTTATTAGTCAATTTCTGACTGATGATGAATTCAGAGCATTGTTTCGAAAAGCTTGTTCTATAAGAAATGAATTTATACAAACCGTAATAAAAGATCGAATTTATCCATCACGCCATCGTTAAAATTCTTCAAATGTGGCCATCCATCTGTAAAATGTTCTCCATTCAATTCTGGTTTATCCACAAAGCTACTATAAAAATAGTCTTCAGTATACATCCCCTATAAGAAAAAATTCGAAGATGAGATCGAGAACACAGTATTGGATGCGCTACTAATACCGCATCATAATGGAATCCATTAGTATAACTCATCGATTCCATTGTGATGTGGCATCCGCACAACATCCTGGAGCAATAGAATTCGTTGCGATACAGTATCCCGACGATGTAAAATAAGCTTTTTGCAGCCTTTTCTAGGCACTCTTCTATTGGAATGCGCATCTAATCAGAATCTTTTCAAGCAGAGTGCATAAATACTTAATATGGCAGTGGTGCGCATTTTTTTGGTATCTGTCCGACATTTTTCTCCAGGGATGCGTACGGATGCCGAAAATGGCAGGACATGCATCCATCCGGCATTTTCTTGGCAGGGATGCGGGATCTGACAGGCTTGCGCACCAGAGGTCTGCACAGGCAATATTTTTTTGCCCGTATCCATAACCCTACTGAGGATGCTTGTCCGTGCCTGTCCGTGAGTTTTTTTCTCTGTCCGTACTTGTCCGCGCCTGTTCGTGAATTTTTTTCGCATATGAATAGTCCGTATATGAAAAAATTTTCTCGTCCACGCGTGTATATTATGTTGTCCTTTCTGTAGC